TTAGGCTCAAACGATCATTCTAATGGCCAGTCCAACAAAATGTGTGCGAGGAGTCTGCAGCCGGATTTAGGAACCATCTTTGCTACAGTGTGGATTTGTTTTATAAACCTTTCGCCTGGTTTTCGAAAGGTTTCATACATTTTTTTGCTGTGTTTTTCTTTACTCATTTTTATGTTTTACTTTCATTTATTTATTTATATTTTTACTTATTTATTCTATTTTCAAATGCATGCCAACTTATTTTGAATATACCTCGAAAAAAAATTATACAGGTTCAACATTTTCCAAATTCTCGCTTAACATTTATTCGAATACATGTTCCAAATTTGTAAAATGCACATTAAATAGTTTAATTCATAGTGAAAAAATTTAAACATACTGCCATGACCATTTTTTAATATACAAACAGTTTTCTCAACTGTTTATGAAGATTTTTTCAAATGACATTACATTTTTTTTCTATGTGTTATGATGTTTTTAAAACAATTGTGCGAACAATTTTTACATTTCATGAACATATTTATAAACGCGCGAGAAATTTTGAGTTTCAATAAATAAATTTTTGAATGTATGAATACTGTTTACAATATACGAACTTTTTTTGGACATTTTCATGAACATCTAAAGAAATGTCATGAACATATTTTTAAACATGTGAACATTTTATTCAATGGTATGAACATTCTTTAAAATTGCATGAACAAATTATTATGCTTCATGGAAATTTTCTAGTGCATGGTAGAAGTTTTAAAAAAATTATGTCATGTAATTTTTGAGATATATCTATAATAGGAGTATTTAGAAATATAAAGAATAGTAAAAAGTAAAACATAACATATGAAACAAACAATCAAACAAAACACAACATGTGCTTCTGCTGCATCCTGAAGAGGGGAAAACACAACTGTGCATACCCAAAAAAAATTGAGAAAGCACAAGTGTGCTTTCGGTATCTGGTTTTTAGGCTTCTTTTTTTTCTTGTGGTTTGTGGCCTTTTTGTTTTCATCTTTTTTGGTTTTCGGTTTCATTCCCTGTTTTCTCAGTTTGGTTTTAGTTTATTCTTTTGGTTTTATGAAAAATATATTTATTGTAATCTATTAACATGGGATCTAGTTTCAAAAATCTCGACACAAGAAATCCAACGGTGATAACGATTCGTGATTTGAAAGCACAATTCAAGAGGTAAAACAATTAAAAAACGGATTTGCAAAAGAAAAAAAAACTTTCAGTTGCGACAAATAACGCACATGCAATGCGTCACTTGCCGACACCAGAAAAGGTGGGGAGTGACCTTTTACAAGAGTAACAAAGTGTACCTCTTAATTAATGATTTCATAGGACATCCCTTTTACAATAGCCTAGGCAAAGGATTTGCTTCCTTCCCTTTGTAGTTGTGTGTGCTCAAAATCTAGAGGTCTGACAGATGATGGGCTGAGAGTGTTTCAGTTGGCCAATCATTCCATCGTCAACCAAGGCCCTGTTTAGATCCATGGGTTAGAGTTAGTTTGGACTCAACCAACCCAAAAATATCCAAATAGGAGGGTTAGTCTGGGTTAGATGCATCTAACCCATCCAAAAAATCTAACCCACCCAAGAGGTGTTTATTTGGGTTAGTTCTTCTCGGGACCACTATAAAAACACCTTTTTCTCTCACTCTCACCGCAGCAAATCCCTCCCCACTTCCTCGAAGCTTCTCGTCATCTCCCTCCCTCCCTCTCGCACTTCCCGTGAAGGCGCCTCGCTGTATCCGTGCTCCATCTAACTCTGCCATCCAAGCACCTCTTTGGTTAGAGTTAATTTAGAGTTAGTTCAGGGTTAGAATCTAACTCTAACCTTTAACTGAGTTAGAGTATCCAAACAAGGCCCAAATCAGACTTGGCCTAGGATAGACATTCGCTCAAATAAGAAATACTGGGTTGAAGGCCTCGCGCAGCACGCCCGAGTGGCCCTGTCGAGGGAGAGGGGACGCGCCAAATACCCCATGCCAGCACTTTGTTAGAACCTTTCTGGGAGCATCAACAGTTTTTTTCAAGAGCATTTCTGGCCCAACTATACTCGGAGCACTTGCTATTAAAGAAGTCATGGACCTTTGTGATGATCTCTATATTCAGCAGATTCGGTGCTTGCGATTGCATGGTGGTGATTGATGTTGTAGAGCAAGGAAGTTTTGCGAGCTACCGAGCAATCATTCATGAGATCATTGACCATTCATCGGTTTTTATATTTTCTATAATATAGTTCATGAATTTAAAAGCTTAAATTTTAAAACTCGCAACCTAATGAAGCATGCTTTATTTTTAGGGGCTGATCGTCAATTTTAATTAGATCAGCCCGATGATCTTTCTTTCGTTCATATAAATATTATGACAATTTAATAGAAGCTTCACGAGAATGTAAAAGAAAACACTTTGCTTCACGAATCAGTCGCTTTCCGGAGTGTCTTCTCCTCCACGGGTGCAGCTAGGGCAGCTAGTGCCAGGTCCCCGTCGCTCGACGGCAGCCGTCAACACGCAGCAACAAACGACAATGTTCATGCTTAAATACGGTGGGGTGTCGCCACCAAACGAAATTAGTATGGTTCAACTTTGCCACAACCACTCGTACGTGTACCTGATGCAAAATCGAATTTACTCACTCAGTTTGATCAGATTGCACGATTCATAATCGAACTCCCATTATCAGTGGTCAACGTTTTCTGTATTACTTCACCTCATTAAAAAAAAGTCTCATTCCTTCTTCCGCAGGCGCCGGCGCCAATCTGCCCCACCTTCAATAGTCTTTGAGCCGTGGAGGTGCAGTGGATCTTGGCGCCATGCCGGCGGGAGGAACACGTTCTTGTTTTTTGTTAGGCTCAACGTTTTAGTAGGGGCTGTGTGACGGTAGTGATGTCCCTCGGTAGGAATAATGTCTCTTACGTTCTATTCCTACCCTGATGATGCAAATAGTGTCATCGAAGGATGTGTGGATGTGTGTCTCTGTCGGATCTTGCGGAATTCGGTGCTGATCTTCGATGGATCTATTTGATGAAGACATCAATACTACAATTACACCCACGACTCATGCAGCTACATATACTGGACCAATTACTAGAGCTCATGCATGCCAATTAATTATCAGGTACTTTCGTTTCTTGATAAATAATCTAATGTTCATGAGAATATGATGCTGCCTAAATTGTACATATTTTTTTTGCTTACAAATGAGGGGCCTAACTTGAAAAAGAAGGATGAACGTTGGAGCAAGATCAAGCATGGAGATTATGGCATGGACAAGGGGAATAAGAACATAGTTTCAAGTGATGATTTCAGGACTTTGAAACCACTATAATGAGTGCATGAAGGCTCGGAAGAAATATACAAGATGCTATTTCATAAATTTCGTCCAAAGGCTATTATAGGTGCCGCGTCACCTCATTATTGGGCCAGACCCATGTAATTTCAAAATACTTGAGTATATAGGCTATTTTTAGAGTTCGTATGTGTGGTAAAGCAGAGTTAGGGTTGGTCTCGGATCCCTCCTCCAAGGGGTCACGAATTTTCCCCATATTCCTCCATATACATAGCCCTTAGGGCATTATTTAGACTTTTGGTTTTGTTTAGATTAAAGTTCACTATAGCTACAACTCGCGTACTTCGTTTATATTCAACGACCAGATAAGGACGTCACAGAACTCCACTTTCATCAATAAAGCTTTTCTTTTATATTCGCAATATCCATATTACAATCTCAGGTTCGTTTGCTCGCAGGAAATAGACCTTCGTGGTCAGATTGATCGTGCTTCGGCGTGGTCAATAACCCTCGGAAGTTGGTTTAGCGATTGCTAAGGCACGACGTCTCGCACGTTCGTAGTCGGATCGTCAAAGTCGACTCACACAGAAAACGATAGCTATCTCATCGAAACATCGAGACACCTTCGCCTCTATCACTATTTGGATTCAATTTTTGTTTATTTGTTCGTGTGGTTACAGGTTTGATCTTTTCGATCTACTACCTCCATCCTGGTTTATAAGTTCCCTTTGTAATTTGTGCCAAATTCTGACCATGGATTTAACTAATAAAATATCAATGTATGTCACGAAAAATTATATTGTTGCATTCGTATCTGAACATAGTTTTCAATTATATTATTTTTTGCGACATTATTAATATTTTGTTACTTAACTTTAAGATCAAACATTAGCATATAGAATACAAAAGGAACTAATAAATCAGGACGGGTGTAGTACTACTCTTTTCAACGTTGATGGTTGCTGCTCTGATGTGTTGGTCCTTTGGAGCCTTAACACAATGACTTTCTGACTGTCTATAATAATAAGGTTTGTCCGGCTCCGATAAAGGAGGATGGTTTATAGATCTGGCTGTAATTTTTATTATCTCTAGTGTTCTCTGTACTGTCATGATTGATGAATAGATCTTGAAAAAAAAACCTCCCATTATCGGTGTTATCCTATCTGAAGCTTTATTAATCAGCCGACCCGCGTGAGATTTTGCAAGATTCTTTCTAGGGCAGCAAGCGTCCAAAGGCAGACAAGTCTGGTACTACGATGTTGGTAATTGCTCCTGCTTTTTCGAAAAGGACCTCGGTACTACGTTTTTTAGGACCTCCGTACTATTAGTAATTACTTTTAGAAATTATTAGTAGTCCTACTCCTACTGTTTTCAGAAAGGACCAAGTCACTGCGGCCTGGAACTGGACGGATCCCGCATTAATTTCCCAACCATCCTCCTTGAAACCTCCATGATGGTTAATAATGAGGCGGCACACCAATACTCCGCCTATACTGCTGCACATGGCCAACCTCGTGCAGGCTGCGCCCTCTCTTCCCCCCTGCCTCCCACCCTCCTACAGCTAGCCGCACTACATCTTCCTTCGCAGACTGCCTACTCGGCCGGCGGCCATACTTCTCTAGTTTATACTACCCCGGATCCCCTTGCTTTGCGCGCGCTAGTAGGAGTACGCCGCCTGCCGCCATCTCCGTTAGACTAGTCGCCAGCGCCATATGGAGGACTACGGCGGCGTGGCGAGCCTGGTGGCGTCCGGGGTGGTGTTGTGGTCGACGGCGTTCCTGCTGCTGCGGGCGCTGCTCCCCAAGCGCTCCTACGACTTCTGCAACCGCGCGGTCTCCACCATGCACGCCGTCGCCGGCGTCGCCCTCGGCTGCCTCTCCGTGCAGGACTGGGCCTCCCCCGTCTCCCCCGTCGCCTCACCCTCCTCGCCAAGCCAGGTACGCACGCCACGCGCATTATTCGCTGCCTGCTTAACTAATTCTGTTGCTGGTAGTTAGCGCCGTCCTCCCACTCGTCCGACTGTCCGAGTATATATATGATTTGTTAAGCTCAATACGCCGCTTAGTCAAAAAAATGTTGGTCGGGCTGAGAATGTTGACGGATTAGTGATGTCTGTGTGGTGTATAGATTTAAATTCAAAGGCACAAACCGTTGACGCATTATATAACCTTTCATTACAAAGGGAACTTCTAGCAATCCTACCTAGTTCATGTGCAACCACATTCGACTTTATGGGGCAATTCGTCTCATAATATAAAAATGTGTTTGACACCGTGTGTCAAAAATGTTTTTATATTATAAAATGAAGGAAGTACTTAAAAATAGGGCCCGCTCACTCTCTCTGATTTCATTAACCTAAAAACTTTTTCATTTGAAAGTGATATATTACATAAGGTTATGGTCTGCATTTATGTTCTGGGACAAAGTTATGTCGTCATGAATTTTTTAGATCAGATTTAGGTCTTAGGGCATCTCCAACCATATCCTAAATCGGATTATCTATCCATCCATGGACACGAATATAGGAGTCGGTCATTTGCAGGAATATAGGGCACGTCGGTCTGGATGTTTGCGAGAATTATAGGAAACGGTGTCGGTGATGCCCTGGCATCCTTCGGACACCCTATCATGAAAAAAAAAATCCTTTGAACCATATCATGAAAGAAAAACAAATATATAAACCATTTAGTACTCATATAAGGAGTATATCTAAATATTAGGCCCACCATTTGGTGAAATCTGTATCACTCATTGCGCCTACTTCTAGCGCATGTCCTCCATTCGTTTCAGTTTACATTACATTGTGCATTATAGTACTATCTTTTTTAGTTTTTACGTTGCGTGTACTAGACGCTTGATTAGGTCCTGAGTTTTACTCCGTCCACACGTATAGAAGGTTACTCTCCGAATCTCTGAAATCCAAAGACACAAGGACAAGGTCAGGACCGTGCACTGCATCTGCATGCAGAAGTTAATTCACAGAGTAAATGCCATGTATATGTCAGACTTAATTACTCTATCCACTGAAATTTGAACGTGTAGTCATAGTCATGAAGTACGTGCAGACAAATATAAAAAAATGAAATGCTATCCGGCTGACCTTTGCTGGAAAAGGGATGGCAAACAAATTTAGTTGCAACGCGAGATGAAACTATGAAAGTTTATGCTCGTGTTTCCTCAAAAATTCCTTCGTGTTGTTGTGAAGAACGTGTCAACCTTAAATAACTAAAACTGTCATCAAAATGTTCGTAAATGTCACATTCTCGCAGCGAACGCTCGTGAGATAAGAGGGTTCTAGAAGCAAGTACTATGCTACGCATTACAGCTAGCTAGCCCATGCACATGCGGTACAATTACAACCACGACCGTATACATACCACGTACTCCGTCCAGCGAACAGAACACTCGAGTAAAATTTTCATTTCTGCTCCCCGTGAATGAGAAATAGAATCCCAGTGATTAGTGCTTAATCGATTAATAACTGCATGTGCCGATTGTCAGATGAGGGCGCTGGCGGTGACGCTGTCCTACATGATCTACGACGGGGCGTGCTGCCACCTGAGCGGCGACGCGCGGCTGGACAACGCCTTGCACCACCTCATCAGCATCGTCGGCCTCGCCGCCGGCCTCGCCTACCAGAGGGTACCACCTTAACTTGAGTATTTCTTCTTCTTCTTCTCTATCGTCTAGCCCTGTGTTCGGTGTATGTCCGTGGGTGGCTAATCTGATGAACGGAGCGGTTAATCTTGGGCGGCGTACGTGGCGTGCAGTGTGGGACGGAGCTGGTGGCGTGCCTGCTCGTCACGGAGATATCCAGCCCGCTGCTGCACCTCAGGGAGATGCTCAAGGAGCTCGGCGTCAAGGACACGGACCTCAACCTCCTCGTCGACGTACGTATAGATATACAGTAGCACCTCATGATCCTGTTCCCCCTCCCTCTGCCCCTCTCTCTCTGGCGGTGAAGTAATTACGTACTGCTTTCTGGCCCATGCATGGGTACGTAGATCCTGTTCGCGGTGACCTTCTCGGTGGCACGGATGGTTTGCGGGACGTACGTCACCTACCGCACTGTCACGGCTGACAACCCCATCCTCATCAAGGTACGTACGTACGTCGTACAACCTTCCAATCCGGCCCAACCATTTCCATTTCTTGATGCATATGTACTTATTTCCATTTACTAATTCAATTATCTGAAGGCGATGGCGACGAGCTTGCTGCTGGTGAGCGCCTACTGGTTCTTGAGGATCCTCAGGATGGTCAGGCACAAGATTGGGAAGAAGAGGCTGGCGTCCAAAGCCGCCGGCAAGGAATCTATGTGATGCCACAAGTGGTGTCTCGCCGCAATTATTGTTGAAAATGCACGTTATGTAGTAGTACTACTATCTAGCGCATTAATCGTGTGGTGGGTAAAGGATGATGTCCCAAGCATGAGATGCATGTATTCTGGTCATTTTCATTTTATTAATGTGCATGAACTGTTAATGTCACAAGCATGAGCTGTTTCGCTGATTGACTGGCAGTAGAAAAACTCATATCTTCTATGCTTACATCTTCTACTCCCTTCGTCCCATAATATAAGAACGTTTTTGACATTAGTGTAGTGTCAAAAACGTTCTTATATTATGAGACAAAGGAAGTAGTTATTCGGCTCATCAATGATTCAAGGCTGACAAACAAGAGACACAAAATAGCAACATACTACCCGTGAACCGAAACACCAATATATAGAGGGGACACCATGATGAAGCTGGAGCCCCTTCGCTACCACTGCTCTTCATAACTATGAACACGGCCTTCAACTTTTCAAACAGCACTGGTTGCTTCGCTAACAGCAACACTAGCAGGTTCAGTAACGAAGCAGTCCCTCTGAATAGTTTACCAAGCACCATGATGGTTCATACATATGACTATGAGCCACAGGTTTTAGGAGCCGGTCAAGAGTTAAAAATGCCAGGACAAAGCTGTTTGAAGATTGAAACATTTAGTTTGGCGTGCAAATCATTTCATACTAGTAATAAGCAGCACCTGGGGGGCCTGGCCCTTGGCACATGCGTACAAATACACAATTGGGCATGATTCTTCTGTTTGCCCGGTCCTATTCATCACTAACCTTCTAATTTCTGCTTCTGCTGCAGTACCTCTTTCGATCTACGTCTTGTCGCTTCCTCTGCCATACATGCCCGGAGGAACACGTTTAAGCACACCATTTTAGGTCTGCGTTGCTGTCTAGGTGCTTGGGTTGCTCCTATACAACCTTCCTCAGAATTCAGCTGAAATCTTCAACAGACCCGTGAACCGAAACATCAGTAACTTGTTAAAAATTTGGATCTAGTACATGTTAGCGCCAGAAACCGACGATGCTCTAGGACACCATGAGAGGAAACTCAGGAATGAGGATGCTGCTGAGACTTGTGTAGAACTTCCTTCAGCACCACAGCAATGCGTTCGGCCATGTGGTGCTCCATGAACCTCTCCTTCACCCTGGCATAGCCCTTGTTTCCCATGGAGACCCTCTGCTCAACATGGCTCGCAAGCCTTACCATGTTCTTGGCGAGAGGCGTGACGCCCTCCTTTCCAGCAGGGTGCAGAAGGCCAGTTGAACCATCCAAGACGATTTCGGTGGTCCCTCCGGCAGCCGTGCCCTGATATTGCAGTGCCATTAAAACTAAGTCAATGAATTGGCTTATGGAAGCATCAAGCACTCTACAGAAAATGCAGGCTAAGAAACAGTAGATGGAGGGGACCCAAGAGGTGTAGGAACTTGAATTTCCCACAGTAAACCCAGCCTCATGACTGTCAACAATAACTCTAGATTCAGAGAAATACTGGCCCATGTTCCAGCCATTGCAGTAAAGGTTGATTGCCTGGCGGATAGACTGATGGCATAACTCACATGTGCACATGCATCCGTATCTAGACAAATCTAAGACAACTAAATCGGGACCGAGGGAGTATTTGTGAACAGAGGGAGTAGTAGAGAGGAGAATATTACCAGCACTGGCAACTTGAACGCCATTGCTTCTATCGTTATCCTTCCAAAACATTCTCCACGGGCCTGTGCAGAAAGAACATATTACTGATTGTGTTTAGCAGATACATGTCTTATGAATAACCTTTTTCATACTAGCTGTATAGATCTGATATACCCCGAAGTAACAAGTTTATACAACATTAGAAAGAAATCAGACAAAATCAACAGACTTTTGCCCTGTCCCGCTGATATACCCTAAAGTAACTAAACAAAGTGGTTAAAGTAGAGAAGCAAACAAACAAACAAACAAACTACAGTTAGCAATCCTCATTGTACCCAGCATGCTGAAAAATGATGCACTCTGATATGAGGTGGCGTGTGTCAGTTTCTGGTTAGAGTTGTAGAAATGTATTACTACCTCCGTCCCTAAATAGATGGCATATAATTTCAGTCAAAAAGTCAATGCTTCCTAAGTTCTGACCATGTATATATAGAAAAATATGAAGATAAAAAAATTCCAAATCAATATCAAACATATCCATCATTAGATCTATTTTCATAATCTATTTATTCAATATAGTTGTTGATATTTTCTTCTATATATTTGGTCAAACTTAGAGAGAATCACTTTTTGACAGAACTTATACGCCATCTATTTGAGGACAGAGGGAGTATTCTAGAATAAATGGTATGTTTCGACAAGCAGAGTGAGCTCTAGTGAAAATCAGTCTACAAAATAATCAATTGGATTAACAGAACCTATCATGGAAAATGTTAGCACTCAAGTGTGGAAAAGCTTTATCACTCATGAACAAATCTTTCTTAGCTATAGCCACATTGAATGTAATGTTTTCTCTACGTAACCTAAGTACTAGTGCCCTGGAAGTGACGACCGTTTAATTATTATTTTCACAAATACACAAGATTGTGTACAATTTCATTGATAGGTAGAGAGTGAAACTCGCAAAACCACGTACACATTCTTAGCAGCATAATAAGTAATAAACTAATAACCAACATGGGTCAACATTACTGATAGGTTTGACTACTAACACTGATACATGGTAAGCTACGCCTACAAGAAAGGCTATTACAGAACAACTTTAAAGAACGAATAAAGGAGATGTTTGTTTAAATGATACTCTCACATAAGGAATGTCCAATAGCATTTCTTTGCATGCGTGGACCCTGGGTAATGAAACTTCTATATGTAAAAACTGGTTAAGCAACATAAGCATGCTCCGAGAATAAACATAGGTTGCAGAAATATTGTCCACACAAATAATGTGGACGGACTAGACTAAAGAATCTCATTGACTGATCCCCTGGACCCTAAAAAATTAGCATGGATGGAGTCAACCTATAAGAGTGCTGTTGTTCCCAGATTAAAATAAATGCTTATGAGAGGCATTTCAATGCTCTGCCCAAGTGGGAAAAATGCAAACAACGATGTAAACATACATAGTGCATACAGTTCCATCGTAGCATACCATTGAAATGGGGACACAAGAGAAAAATATATCCATACTATGACTCACCTGAGAGTTCTGGACAAGCACATCAATTGCAGCCAAATAAGGTGCCACTGCCAACGTCTTGTTTATAAAGTGAACACTGTCATGGATCCCATTCTTCGCCACAAAATCACGTAACTGTGTCTCATACTTCGTCTGAGCACTCATATCACTTCCGACAACTACAGCATGCACTTTAGGCGCTTTTAACTTCTGATGTTGGATGAGTTGCAGGCTCTGATGAAATGCTTGAAGAAATAAGTCTTGTCCTTTTCCCCGTGAAACACCTGGATTACAAGATATTTATCAAGGACAATAACATATAAGAGCATAAATCGGAGAGAATGATTGGTCCAACAAATATATAGTTTGGAAGTATGACTTTGGCAAACAAAACATACTGTTTATCATAGCAAATAGGAGATCTTCACTCTTAACTCCAAGGGACTCGCGTATATGTTCACGTAAGACTCTTCTTGCGACATTATCTTCGGCAACTTCTGTTAACTCTTTACTATTCCCGAGGTGAACAGCAAAAGTTTGTGGCATCTGTATACTTTATGCACAAGAACATTAGAAGTATATAGTACGAAGTAGGAATAAAGAAGCTGAAAGCATGCAACAAACAAAATGATCATTGCCTTTGTGGAGTAAAAGCTCATACATAGGCATATAGCACAAGAAAAACATTTTAGCTAGTAAAATTTGGAACTAAGTCACCACATACACAAGGGCCAGAGAGAGAAATATCCACTGGACTAGTAATTCACATCAAGCGCAAGAGTCCAACAGCACAAATGGTAGCATGGTACTCATAATGTAATGTACACAGAAGGAAGCTGCACATACTTTAGACGGTCATGAGTCCTGGTCTTCCAATATTCAACTGTTATGTGAGAATCGATCATGGCTCCAGCAACCAAAGGAAGATGTTTCACATACTCAAGCTTAAAGTAATGTCCTCGCATTTCATGGATCCACCACAAAATCTTCGGAAGGACTTGAGGAACATTATCTTTTAGAACAGCATCAAGCCACTTGCCAGCAACAGCGGTGTTCAAGATAACCAGGTCAGCCTTAAGAGCAGTCTCAACTGCCTCCTGTCCCCTAGCAGGTAAAACCTGTGAAGCGACCATGTAAGTCAATGTGACTTCCTCTAAAATTATAAATTAGTTCCCTAGCATAAGTAAAATATTGCATTAGAGTAGATTAAGTTCTTAATTTGGACATGCTTTATTGTCTTCAACCATGACTTATTCCATGACACTTCGAAATAGCAGTTTAGTACAATCACGCCGAATAAGATGAAACATGAACTTCATCACTTTCATATTTTGGATATGCTTTTTTCTACAACCTCAGGTATGGTGCTTCAACTATAATTTTTTTCCACGACACTTTGATATAGAAATTCACTACTATCATGCCAAACAAGATGAAACATGAACTTTTGATCATGTGAAACATAGACGTGACAGAGATGACAGGCAAGACGAGCTTTGCTAAAAAAAGGCTATATCCATGTAAAAATTGCGACAGTGGAACAGGCACATACAAACCTTTCATCTTTAACCAGTGATATTTTTTCAAACATTTCTTGGTCACATAAAAGTAATACATGTAAACTCATCACAAGATTTATGTTCATATTTTACACATTTATATATTTTACAATACATTGTGATATTGCTTCCTGGAGACCTGGACATCGTAGAATGTACAAAACATCCGGAGTTTGTGACGGTAAGGTGTGATTTGCAAAAACAAGTGTGGGAGCCGGACCATACCTGCACTCCATGGTTCAACATCTTATGCTCCAAGCTATATGAAACATCGTTTGTTCCTTCGGGTCGCTGGTTTGTTATCCATACCACTTGGCAACCAACCTGCCGAAGAAGAAACGCCAACTCCATCAGTAATAACGGTCCACCTGCACAAAACAGAAGTATCTCCAATAACACTGGTTTATAAACAAAATAATGGCAATAGCACAACAATTTAGAGATCCCTGCCGATGAAATGCGGCAAATCTCATAAAGACTCGAAGGCTCCACTCTTCAAACTTATGAGCAACTAGACCAGAGTGAAATATTCAGCAACATTTGTTTTCAGGGATCTTGAGTTAGCCTTGAACATTCCAAGTAAAAATTTCACTAACCTATCTTCGTTTCTCTGCTTATTACCTGGAAATATACACAATTCCTATTATCCCGAATCGCTGGGGCACCGCAGTGAACTTTAATTCATGTACAAATCTCGCGATGGTATCATGGTACAGCATTTGCTCAAACTAACACGGAAGGGAAAAGTGAAGCACACCGCGATTAGTTACCGGAGAGGGAGAGTTCGTGGGAGACAAGCAGCACGAGCTTGGACTTCATGAACCCGAGGGGGCTCGAGGCAGCACCGCCAGCTCGGGCGGCAACGACGTCTACAGGATCCCCTCGGGTATCGCATGGGCCGACAGGGCCGCCGCGGAGGACATAACCAGCGGTGAAGGCGGAGGCAGCCACGGCTACGAGGAGCAGGAGGAGGAGGCGGGTCCGGTGGTGGGCAGGGCCGCGGCCGCCGGCGGCCGACGCCGCCGCGGATGGAGGAGGTTTCGCCATCGCCGCCAGGAGAGAACGGGGCGGCCGCGAGATTAGATTGAACGAACGGTCTTGATTTGGCGATCGGTCTTTAACAATATTTCGAGAAATTGAACAAAACGTTTTGACATCGCCACATTTTGTGCAACAACAGGATAGTAACGTGCAATAACAGGACAAAATTCAAATATGCAACTATTCTGTAAAATACTTCAGCGAGTTGCATAAAAGGTCATTTTGCGGGAAGTTACAACAATTTGATTTTTTTACATCTATTAAAGTGAGAAGAAGCTAGAAAGGCAAGTACATTTACAACCACGTGTCGCTGGATTATACACGTGTCTTTGCCATGTCCACACTAAGCAATAGAGATAGGCTATATTACATGGCTAACCACCCACTCAACATATCCAAAAAGAAAGCACACTGATCGCCCTGAAGGAGTCCTGCACACATCCAAGTATTCCCCTCTTGTTTGATGTTGGAGAGCACTGTCATGACCCGAGGGGTTTACTCCATCAAACACCACAATGTTTCGATGCTTCCATATTTCTCAAATTACGAAGGTTAGGATGGACCGCATGTTTCTTATATCTTGCCAGGTGCATCCTTGGAGATACACTAGGTGAGTATAGTGTCATTTCGCATAGGAGTCTAACTATGTTAGCTCCGAGCAGAGAGTTGTGTGCCACACCTGCCTAGTCGCAACACGTGTGAAAAGAAGATGATTGATGGTATATTGCTCCCGATCGTACATAGGGCACATAGGTTGGTGTGGCAATCCATGGCGCACAAGCTTGTCAGAGGTCCAACGGCGGTTCCGCATGGCCAGCTAGGTGAAGAAACTGAAGGAAATATGCCCTAGAGGCAATAATAAAGTTATTATTTATTTCCTTATATCATGATAAATATTTATTATTCATGCTAGAATTGTATTAACCGAAAACATAATACATGTGTGAATACATAGACAAACAGTATGTCACTAGTATGCCTCTACTTGACTAGCTCGTTGATCAAAGATGGTTAAGTTTCCTAGCTATTGACATGGGTTGTCAATTGATTAACGGGATCACATCATTAGGAGAATGATGTGAGTGACTTGACCCATTCCGTTAGCTTAGCACCCGATCGTTCAGTATGTTGCTATTGCTTTCTTCATGACTTATACATGTTCCTGTGACTATGAGATTATGCAACTCCCGTTTATCGGAGGAACACTTTGTGTGCTACCAAACGTCACAACATAACTGGATGATTATAAAGGTGCTCTACAGGTGTCTCCGAAGGTACTTGTTGGGGCGTATTTCGAGATTAGGATTTGTCACTCCGATTGTCGGAGAGGTATCTCTGGGCCCTCTCGGTAATGCACATCACTTAAGCCTTGCAAGCATTGCAACTAATGAGTTAGTTGCGGGATGATGTATTACGGAACGAGTAAAGAGACTTGCCGGTAACGAGATTGAACTAGGTATTGAGATACCGACGATCGAATCTCGGGCAAGTAACATACCGATGACAAAGGGAACAACCTATGTTGTTATGTGGTCTGACCGATAAAGATCTTTGTCGGTGTCAAAACCGACGGATCTTGGGTAGGGGGTCCCGAACTGTGCGTCTAGGCCGGATGGTAACAGGAGACAAGGGACACGAAGTTTTACCCAGGTTCGGGCCCTCTCGATGGAGGTAAAACCCTACGTCCTGCTTGATTAATATTGATGATATGGGTAGTACAAGAGTAGATCTACCACGAGATCGAGGAGGCTAAACCCTAGAAGCTAGCCTATGGTATGATTGTTCATGTGTACATTGTCCTATGGACTAAAACCCTCCGGTTTATATAGACACCGGATAGGGTTAGGGTTACATAGAGTCGGTTACAATGGTAGGAGATCTTCATATCCGTATCGCCAAGCTTGCCTTCCACGCCAAGGAAAGTCCCTTCTAGACACGGGACGGAGTCTTCAATCTTGTATCTTCATAGTCCAGGAGTCCGGCTGAAGGTATAGTCTGGCTATCCGAACACCCCCTAATCCAGGACTCCCTCGGTAGCCCCCGAACCAGGCTTCAATGACGATGAGTCCGGCGCGCAGATTGTCTTCAACATTGCAAGGCGGGTTCTCCTCCAAATTCCGTGTACCTGTTTGAATAAAGTTCGGTTTCTTGTAGATGTTGCGCTCCTTGGCTTCTACGCCCAATAATGGCCGCTTCCCACGTGTCAAATGAATATGAAAAGTCTGAGTGTTTTTACATTCGCACCCCTAGCCGCATAAATGAGCTGACCTATTTAAGGGGACGAGGATTTAGATCCAATCCACACCTTCTCCCCTCCGCGAGTGTTCATCAGAGCGCATCCGGCAAAGGTCCATTCCACCATGGCCAGCCATCGCAACTCCTCCCCTCGCCCTTCCAGCCCTAAGCCTGGATATTGGGAGAGATGTTCCACCCCGCATAGCGAGCTAGTGAC